TACTGTCAGCCCCATTTTATAGATGAGGAAAGTGAGGCCCAGAGGGGACAGATGTCTTGCCCAAGGTCACAGAGTGGGTCCCAGATGGGGTTGGATTCAAGGTCGGTCTCCTGATTGAGATCAAGGAGGGGCTCCGTGAATGCCCCAATATTGAAGCGGTGGCCCAGTAGTCTTCGTGGCAGGAGAGGCTTTGAGGGAGGCCCTGTCCAGGACAGGCCCAGAGAGCTTGGATGACTCCTAGCCACTCCTCCCACCGCTGTAGACAGCCAGCCCCAACTCCCCACAGCCTTGTCCAGGTGGAGAGCTTATTCTCCTATTGCTGGACACTTGCAGGTGAGGGGGGGCAAGAGGTAGGACTTAGATGGAGAGGCCTGGGGGGCCGGTCCCCCAGTCCAGCTGGAAGCCTGTTTTTCTTCTGCACCGCAACTAGATGACACATGTTGGTGTAACCCACTGTATTGGAGCTAGATGGACCAGCCAAGGTACCAGTGCCCACTCTTCCACTTACTAGCTTAGTGACCTTGCCAAGGTTACTTAACGTCTCTGAGGTTCGGCGTTGGCCTCTGTAAAAGGGCAGGAATTAACACCCAGTGTGCTGTTGCTGAGCATGGAAATGGAAACCGGTCTGTACAAGGGCCAGGCTGGAGCCAGGATCTGGTTGTTGCCAAGTCTGAATACTTGGGCCTTGATGGCTCTACTCCCCAGTTCTCCCTCGGGTGGTTGATGCCGGCTCCACCCTCTTCCCCCAGCCTCTGTTCTCCCCACATCTGGAATTGGGCGGCTACCTCTGGCTTGGAGGAGTGAGACAGCTGTCAGGGACGCCCGGTTTGTTGTGGAAACGCTCAGCCCCTCTTGGCAGCCCTGTGTGATGGGTGGGAGTGAACCTGGCCTGGGCTCGGAGGAAAATCCCACCCATCAGTCCCCTTCCCCATGGGTGAAAAGGCAAGAAAAGCCACCCCAAGACTTCTTGCGTGAGCAGGGGGCAGACTTGATGTTTGTCAGCATGCCCTAGTGGGCATGGTGGGCCCAGGTCAGTGTCTCTTAGATGAATGGGTGTTGGGATTCCACTGCCTCCCCTGCCCTCCCCCAGCGCCTTCCAAGCCGAGCTGGAAGTTGGCCACTGGAGAGTCATTCCTTTGTTTCCTGTTAAGCTGCAGGTGCTCCAAGAGGGGCAAGATGTCCAGCCTCTGTGGCTCAGCCTGACTGACCCGGGGTGTCCGGTCTTGGGTGGGGTTTCCTGAGTGAGGACTGGGGGCAGCACTGGGACTCTGCTGCTCCTGCATTTTCCTTCCTGCTCCCTTCCCCTCGCCCTAGACCCACACTCCCCTTGGGGACACATTCTCACCCTCATCTGCCCTGGGTGAAGAATTGGGCCAGAGGAACTGGCAGAGCCCCCCTGCCAGGCCGCTGCCCCGCCTCTCCTAGGCTGACTGCCCACCTGCTCAGCCCCTGGCTGGCCTGGGGGAGGGGGTAGTGGGAGAGGATGGGCTTACCTGGCTTGAATCCTGGTCCTGCCCTTACCGGCTGGGTGACCTAGCAAGTTTTTTTCTTTTCCTTTTTCGCTTTTGATGTGCTCTATTCTACACCTGGGCTCACACGTATGGGGCCCATCAGACCCGACACGCATCTCCCACCCCAAAACTGGAATAAGGGCTTGCTCGGTTTGCCTAGTTTCTTAGTGCTGCTGTAACAGAAATATCACAAATTTATTTTCTCACAGTTTAGGAGGCTAGAAGTCTGAATTCAGGGCGCTGGCTCTAGGGGAAGGCTCTCCTCTCTGTCGGCTCTGAGAGACGATCTTTGTCTCTTTCAACTTCAGTTCCTCGCTTCCTTAGTGATCTTTACATGGCATCTGTCTTCCCCCATTTGTGCTTGCTTGTCTGTGTCTAATCTGCTCTTTTATATTTCAAAAGTAATTTGTTTTAAATTTTGATCAAAGATTCTATAGAAGAATCCTGAACCAAATGGGGAAAATATAGAACAGAATTTCAAATTCTCATGGAATCCAGACTTTCTGGAGCCACGAAGGGTGGATGAACCCCTGAAACTATTGCCCTGAGATCATCTTTAAACCTTACACCAAAAATATCCCCTAAAGTCATCTTAATAACCAAACAATAGTTTAGCTTAATTAGTAAAGAATATCTGCCTTGAGCACTGTGCTCTTTTAAGATCTATCTGTATGGGATCAAATTGACAACAGCAACTTGAAAGATAAGATAGGAACCTTAGGGGGCAGTGAGTTTATGTTAATGGGGAGGAACAACACAGAAAAAGAGGACGAGAATGGTTGTACAACTCGAAGAATGTAACCAGTGTCACTGAATTGTACAAGTAGAAATTGTTGAATTGGTGTACTTCTTTGTATAGTCTTAGCAATAACAGAAATAAAATAATTTTTTAAAGTGATTAAAAGACACACCCTACACTGAGATGACCTCGTTAATGTAACAGTGAAATCCCTATTCCCAAATGGGATTATATCCACAGTATAAAACCAAAAAACCAAACCCACTGCCATCGAGTCATTTCTGACTCATAGCAACCCCATAGGGTTTCCAAGGCTGTAAATCTCTACGGAAGCAGACTGCCACATCTTTCTCCTGTGGAGTCGCTGGTGAGTTCAAACCGCTGACCTTTCTGTTAGCAGTTGATAGCTTTAACCACTGCGCCACCAGGTCTCTTATCCACAGTATAGGGGTTAGGATTTACAGCACATATTTTTGAAGGACACGATTCAATCCCTAAACAGCCTTTTTCTGTTAAACAAGTATTGCAGCCTTCCAGGTTGTACTTTCTTTTTCCACATAGAAATGGCTTTATTTTTTTCATAATTACATAAATAATAAACCAAAAAAACCCAAACCAGTTGCCATCAATTCTACTCCGACTCATGGCGATTTCATGTGTGTCAGAGTAGAACTGTGCTCCATCGGGTTTTCAATGGCTGACTTTTCAGAAGTAGACTGCCAGGCCTTTCTTCCAAGGCACCTCTGTCTGGGTAGACTCCAACCTTTCCGTTTACATATGTGCACATAAATAATACATGCTTATTATGAAGAATTTGAACTTATAAAAGTATGAACAAAAAAGGAAAAGTGTCCTGAAATCTTAAAAAAAAAAAACAAACCCACTGCCATCGAGTCAATTCCAACTCATAGCGACCCTATAGGACAGAGTAGAACTGCTCATAGGGTTTCCAAGGCTGTAAATCTTTACAGAAGCAAACTGCCACATCTTTCTTCCATCTAGCGGCTGGTAGGTTCGAACCACTGACCTTTAGGTTCGCAGCCAAGCGCTTAACCGCTGCACCACCAGGGCTCCCCTGAAATCTTACAACCTTAAAATAACCATCATCTGATGGAAAAAGTTGGGGATGGATAAGGGTGATGGTTGAACAACATGATAAGCATGATTAACATTAGTGAAGTGTACATTTGAAGATTGTTGAAATGCCAAATGTTTTGTTATGCATATATTTACCACAATTAAAAAAAAAAACCCTATGAACATTTTGGTGACCATCCTTTCATTGTATATATATGTACACATATGTAATATATAATATATTGTTGTTGGGTGCCGTCGAGTCGGTTCCAACTCACAGTGACCCTATGCGCAAGAGAAAGAAACCCTGCCCAGTCCTGCACCATCCTTACAATTGGTGCTACAATACATATACCACGCATATATGTCATTTTACAATAATAGGATCAAAGATAACTTTTTGAGGACACCTTTCCTCCCTCATCGGTGACCCCCCCATGCCAGTCTAGGTAGCCCATATTACAACCTAGTACTGGCCTTCTAGATTCTTCTCTGTTCTTATGTAAGATATAAACCCATATAGACTTGTCTAGGCAGGTAGGTACACATGCGTATTTGAGAACTGGAGAGAAGCTGCTCAGTGCTTTAAATAAATGGGATCATCTACATGTTTTGCATTTTGCTTCTCACCCTCTACTGTACCTTGTGGGAATCCCTCCAAAATGTCTTACAGCTCTAATTTTTAAAGGGGGATTAAGAGAGTAGTTGTGATGATTAAATGAGATGTATTTGCAAAGAACTCAGCAAAGCACCAGGCACAGAGCAGAGCTCCCAGCATACCTGTACTCACTCCCTACTCCACCTCCCCTTAGAGGCTAGGCCGGGGGCAGGGACAGAAACAATATTAGACTCGGCCCTCCCTCAAGGAACTCATAACCCCGAGGAGGAGAAAAGAGAAACTCGGAGGTGTTTACTAAACACCCTGCTGTGCGTCTAGCCCGTGCCAGGCCTGGATGGAAGAAACAGGTGACAGGATAAGTCTGTGAGACCCCCAAACAATTTGTCACTTGCCACGTCGTAGGTCACAACTGATGTGCAGTGGAGGTCAGCGTAGGGGGTGAGACCAGGCAGGAGACCTGAGCCAGGATTTTGTGTGTGACTTTGGCCTGAAACTCAGGTGCCCGAGCCTCAGACTCCCCACATGCCAAGGAGAAGGTCTGCCTGGTGATCCAGACTCTCAACTGCAGTTGGTCTGTGAGTGAGGAGACATGTCTTCTCCTCAGGAGGGTGGCTCCACTCATGCTCCCAGGGCTGATGTGGGATTCCCAGGAACAAGACGGGTGTCTCTGACCTTTGTCCTTCTGTCCCTGACTTTTACCCTTCGTGTTTCAGAGCACAGCAACTCCTCAGCCCTGGACCAACGAGAAGTTTGAGGCGACAAGATCAAAGAGCGTTGCAGCCTACAAGACTTCCGCCTTTCTGTTTCCACTTTCCAGAAACAAGCTTTCAGCCCTTTGGGGAGAAGGTGACTTTTGTCATCTCAGCTCTCTGACTTCATTGTTGATCTCCAACCTTCCTCTGGCTAATTCCTTGGACCAACTCTGGTCAGGCCCCACACCCTAGTCCCTTTGGCAAGTTCTGGCACCGGAAACCGCCTTCTGGAGGTGGTGTTCCAGTTGAGCGTGGTGAGGGGGCAGCGTGAGGCTGTGGTCTCGGCAGCAGGCCGGGGTGGTGAGGTCACGATGTCCACCAAGGTGCCCATCTACCTGAAGCGCGGCAGCCGCAAGGGCAAGAAGGAGAAGCTGCGGGACCTGCTGTCCTCGGACATGATCAGTCCGCCGCTGGGGGACTTCCGCCACACCATTCACATCGGCAGCGGTGGTGGCAGTGACATGTTCGGGGACATCTCCTTCCTGCAGGGCAAGTTCCACCTCCTGCCGGGAACAGCGGTCGAGGGGCCTGAGGAGGACGGCACCTTGGACCTCCCCTTCCAGTTCACACGCACGGCCACAGTGTGCAGGCGGGAGCTCCCCGACGGGCCGTCCCCGCTGCTCAAGAATGCCATCTCCCTCCCTGTCATCGGGGGGCCCCAGGCCCTCACCCTGCCCCCCGCCCAGGCCCCACCCAAACCCCCTCGGCTGCACCTGGAGACCCCTCAGCACTCCCCCCAGCCCTCCCCGCAGGAGCCAGGGGATGTGGACATCTGGAGGACTCTGGAGGCTGGCCCTGCCCGCAACGGGCTGACCCCCCAGTCCGGGGCCGAGGAGCCCTTCCTGTCCCATGCCAGCTCCCTGCTCTCCCTACATGTGGACCTGGGGCCCTCCATCCTGGACGACGTGCTCCAGATCATGGACCAGGACCTGGACGGCATGCAGATCCCCACGTAGCACCCACGGCCAGGCTGGGCAGATGCGGGGCAGTGTGTGGACACAGCCCTGGCCTAGGAGGCAGACCCCAGGTCCCACCTGTGTGGTTGTGGCTGTGGTTTCTCCCTTTTAGCCTCTGTCTCTCCTTCCATCCTCACCCTGTGGGCAGAGTGCCCACATGGCTTCCCCCGAACAGCCCACCAAGGACACGGGCAGGAGGCGTCGGCCCAAAGAGCCCCGAGGCCCCCACCAATGGCTCCTCCTTCCCTCAGACCCCTTGGGTGAAGGCTCTGCTGAAGAGGACGCCCCTTCTCACCTCCCTGTCGCATGCCCTGACTGGGAGGGTGGAGGAGGGCAGGGTTCAGCCAGGTGGAGGTTCAAGACCTTTGGCTTCACGTCCTGGGCTGGGGGCGTCGCAGCAGTGACTTTATGAAGGTGTCCTGCTGAGTCCCCTCCCACACAACTGGGGGAGTCTGGTTGCAATAAAACTTGCTGCTGCTGGTGGCTGTGCTCCTGCACCTCGTCCCGCCTGTCTTGGGTTTCCTTCTGAAGCTGGGCCGCTCTCTGTGTGCTGTGAGCTCACCCTGGGGGGGACCCTGGTCCCAGAGGCCTTTGGAGGGGGGCAGGCCCTGGCCTTAGGAAGATGGTACCTGATTCCCACCTGTAGTGAGGACAGAGCAGGCACAGACCAAGTGCCCAACTGTGGCTGTTCGCACGGTAGTTGGGTGTTGGCAGGCGGTGGCCAAGCACTGGTGTGAGCCGGTCCTGCCCAGGCAGCTGGGGTCTGTTGGAGGACACCCAAGGGTAAAACTAAGCAGAAGGCCTGTGCAGGGGACTCCCAGGGAGATTCCCCGGTGTCAGAGGGCTGGGGGCGCGTGGGAGGAGGGGACAGACTTGGCCGTGCTGCCCACCAGCTGGAGCCACAGCTGTTTGCTGAGCATCCCATGTGCCAGGTGTGGCTCCAGGTGCTGGGGCACAAGACAGACTCCATCCCTGCTCTCTTGGAGCTGACATTCCAGTGTGGGAGGAGAAGAATACCTCTGTAAACAAGTAAGATGATTTCCAACAATGGTGAACACTACAAAAACAGTGTGATCAGGAATGGCTGGGACCAGTGCGGTGGTGTCGGGGCACATAAGGGTGATCAGATGTGATTCTGAGCCAAGCCTGAGAAATGACAGCGAGGCCTCACTGGCCTCTGGACACCAAGCCCAGCCGACTTCCCAGCTGTCTTCCTTATGTCTACAGCGCCTTCCTCCTCTTTGATCTCCGGTCCTCTCTGCACTGGCCTGGGTGGTGCCTCTCCAAAACCTAGTCTGACCGGGCTTCTCTCCTGCTTTAAATCCTTTGGCAGCTCCCCACTGGCTCAGCTTCAGCCTTGCAAGCAAAACTGCTCTAAGCTGACTCGAACCACTTTCCCAGCTTCAGAGTCCAGCCCTTCCTGAGCCCCAAGTCACACACTACAACCATGTTTGAATAGTGAGCTCTAGTCTTGTCAACAAGCCTGGGACGTGGGTATCAGTAGCTCCATTTTACATGTGCGAAAACAGTCTCACCAGGTCAGACTCCAAGGTCCATGGACTTCCTGCCACGTAGTGGTTCCTCTCTGTCATTTGCTCCGGTGCCTCGGTGTCCTGGTAAATTTTGTGAAGGCAAAGGGTGGGGGAGCTGAAGGCCTAGCACCTTTTGCCTGCAGGCTCCTCTTCATTGCTTGGGTGTTTGTTCCCTTCTGCCTTGGGAGGGAAAGACAAGGACACTTCCTTAGAGCTGCACCCAGCCTGAAGGCAGCACCTCACCCTGCAACTAGCTGCAGCCAGAGTAGCCACGGAAGGAGGACATGCCTGTCCTGGGTCCCCTGGGACCTCTCCAGACCCACCTTCCATCAGGCACCAGCCAAAAGGCCCTGGCAACTACTCGGAGTTGCCACATGGGGTGGAGAAAGAACTAGGGAGGGGGCCTGAAGCACTAACAGAACTTGGGCTACCAGCTTACTCCAAGGTAGCCAGGGGTAGGGAGAAAAAGGACTGTCCCTCTTCAGCTTGTATAATGGGGTGCAGGTGCCATGTCCCCAAAATAGGAAGAAAAGTTGTTGGCCAGCCAGAACAATTACCAGTGTCTCTAAGGTCCATGTTTGGGATATCCAACTTCCATGCATGTCCTTATTCTGGAATTTACTCTTAAAGAATACATACAAATGTTGTTAGGTGCTGTTGAGTCGATTTTTGACTCAGAGTGACCTGATGTGACAGAGTTGAGCTGCCTCATAGGGTTTCCTAGGCTGTAATCTTTATGAAAGCAGATTGCCAGGTCTTTCTCCCATGGACCCACTGAGTGGGTTCAAACCTTTTGGTCAGCAGCCGAGCACTTAACCATTGTGCCACCAGGGTTCCTTATATACGCAGCCTAAGGAGCCATGGTGGCGTAACGGTTAAGTAATTCTAAAATTCCTTACCACCAACATACTCTATATTCGAGAGTGAGGGCAAGGGAGAAGGGTGGAGGACGAAAATACATAAAAAAATATATTTGACACGGCAAAAAGAAACCACATGTAGAAGCTACACTTTTTCTACAAGGAAGCTGGAGCTGGTATGAATAACTTCCCTCCTCCGTGGCCCAGAACATGTTCCCTTTGCCTTCAGCCAGCATCTTGGCTGGTCAGGGTTCTTTACCAGGTGATGTGTCCCAGACCTCATTTTGGACCACCCAGGTAACGTGACCCTGGGCTGCAAAGTCCATGGAAGTGGAGTCCCAACTTAAGTGTGTATGTGTCTGGGAGGGGACTGGGGATCTGATGTCCTACCTTGGACAGGCTCTGGGTTTGGATTTTTGTCCCTCTCCCCAAAGACCACCAGACAGTAGGTAAATTTCAACAACTTCCAGATTAGAAAATGCCCTCAGGGCAAACTGCTTTGAAAGCTGGGCTTACCTCTCTGGGTTTTAGCCTCCGAAATGTTGGCCTAGTAATTCTTTACAGTATTATTAGCTTTTCAATGCTTTAAAAAGCTTTTTCCCCCCCATTTCCTCTGTTTTTTTTTAGTTTGTCTTCAGTGGGAGGGTTGAACTTAAATACCTAACCAAGAGCCTGTCTCTCCTGAGCTTTCACCCCTGAATGTAGTAGTTAAGAAGAGGTTCCCCAGGTATTCCCTGGGTTTCACATATATGCCTCCCTGCCCTCACCGGGTAATAGCAATCCCTTTGATAATTAGAATCAATCACCCCAGCCAACAGTTGTTGCTGTTATTGTTGTTGCCGTTAGGTGCCATCCAGTTGGTCCAGACTCATAGCGACCCCATGCACAACAGAACAAAACGCCACCTGATCCTGCGCCATCCTCACGATTGTTGTTATGCTTGAGCCCATTGTTGCAGCCACTGTGTCAATCCATCTCGTTAAGGGTCTTCCTCTTTTTCACTGACCCTCTACTTTACCAAGCATGATGCCCTTCTGATAACATGTCCAAAGTATGTGAGATGTAGTCTCACCATCCTTGCCTCTAAGAAGCATGCTGGCTGTACTTCTTCCAAGACAGATTTGTTCATTCTTTTGGCAGTCCATGGTATGTATATTCAATATTCTTTGCCAACACCATAATTCAAAGGCATCAATTCTTCGATCTTCTTTCTTTTGTTGTTGTCCAGCTTTTGCATGCATTATGAAGCCATTCAAAATACCATGGCTTGGGTCAGGCACACCTTAGTCTTCAAGGTGACATCTTTGCTTTTCAGTACTTTAAAGTGGTTTTTTCCAGCAGATTTGCCCAATGCAATGCGTCATCTGATTTCTTGACTGCTGCTTCCATGGGTGTTAACTGTGCATCCAAGCAAAATGAAATCCTTGACAAGTTCAATCTTTTCTCCGTTTATCATGACGTTGCTTATTGGTCCCGTTGTGAGGATTTTTGTTTTCTTTATGTTGAGGTGTAATCCATACTGAAGGCTGTAGTCTTTGATCTTCATCAGTAAGGGCTTCAAGTCCTCTTCACTTTCAGCAAAACAAGTTGTGTCATGTGCATAACGCAGGTTGTTAATGAGTCTTCCTCCAATCCTGATGCCACATTCTTCTTCATATAGTTCAGCTTCTTGGATTATTTGCTCAGCATACAGATTGAATAAGTATGATAAAAGGATACGACCGTGACACACACCTTTCCTGACTTTAAACAACGCAGTATCCCCTTGTTCTGTTTGAATGGCTGCCTCTTGATCTATGTACAGGCTCTCATGAGCACACAATTGAGTGTTCTGGAATTCCCACCCTTTGCAATGCTATCCATATTTGTTATGATCCACACAGTCGAATGCCTTTGCATTGTCAATAAAGCACAAATAAACATCTTTCTGGTATTCTCTGCTTTCAACCAAGATCCATTTGACATCAGCAATGATATCCCTCATTCCACATCCTCTTCTGAATCCAGCTTGAATTTCTGGCAGTTTCTTGTTGATGCACTGCTGCAACTCCTTTTGAATGATCTTCAGCAAAATTTTACTTGTGTGCGATATTAATGATATTGTTAGAAAATGTTGGCATTCGGTTGGATCAGCCAATAGTGGGATCCTCTTTTTACTCTGTTGCCCAGTGGCATGGGGTGCACAAAATCACCCATTAACACTCTTAAAACCATGGGAAAAAATAAATTAAAAAAAATTTTTTAAAAACAGTCTTAAAACCAAACCCATGCTGTCGAGTAGATTCTTACTCAAAGTGACCCCATAGGACAGAGTAGAACTGCCTCCTAGGGTTTCCAAGGCTGTAATCATTACAGAAGCAAGACTGCCACATTTTTCTCCTGAAAAGCGGCTAGTGGCTTTGAACCGCCAACCTTCGGGTTAGCAGCCCAGCTCTTAACTGCTGCACCACCAGGGCTCCTTCTTGACAGTCTGAGCTACTAATATAGAGAAATCCTTATTGTGCCCCTGGTGGAAGCATTCCTTCCTTGGGCCCTGTTAGTGTTAGATGCCCTGGAGTTGATTCCCACTCTGGCGACCTTATGTGTGCAGAGAGCTCTGCTCCATAGGGTTTTCAAGGCTGTGACCTTTTGGAAGCAGATCGCCGAGCCTGACTTTCAAGGTGCTTCCAGGTGGGTCTGAATAGCCAACCTTTCAGCTTAGTAGTGGCCCTCAACCATTTAAGGCTCTAAACCATAGACGCAGGAACAGGAAACAAACGTTTTGCAAAAGGGTCATTAGTTGCGAATGCAAGAGGCTGCACTTCCCACTTCCACTCCTTGGTTCCCACAGCCACATATTCAGTGCAGTTCGGTGGGTAGGTTTGGTAGCAGGAACATACGGTAACTTTTGTCGCCCTCCTCTCCCCTTCCTCTTCCCTAAAATAGGCACAAGTGGGCTGCACACCACTCTCACCTTCCTTACCCACCAATCCCCACCTATGAGTAAAGGCATAAGGGTTAACCGCGTGGTTAACGGTAGGTTAGGTAGCAAGAAGCATGCGCTCCATCCAGACCATTTCTGGAACACCCACTGTCTTCGCCAACACTTCGCTTTCTCATTTCTGGATGAGGCAGATCTTTCCTCCCTCCTTCCGCTCCTCCAAATGGAAGAGGCGGGACTTGAACAAGTGCAGCGGGGCGCGCGCCCGGTCCCGATCGCGCCTGCGCGTCGGGCTCCCTTGGTCTCCCTCGCACCTTTCCTGCCCAACGCCGACGAGCTGGCTCGGAGGTTATTCTCTATCGCTCGCTCTCCAGCGCGCGCGCCCGGGCGGCGCCTGCGCGGAGAGACGAGGAAACGCGCTCCCCTGTGCGGGCTCGGCGCCTGCGCTCTGTGGGCTCCTGGGCCTCCCGGCCTGAGGGAGAGGAGCAGGGAAGATGGCGGCTGTGGTGGAAAATGTAGTGAAGCTGTGAGTGGTCGTTTCTTTCTCTCCTAGACCGGGAGGTCTTGTAAGGGCCCTGGGAGTAGGGGCGGTGCGGGAAGGGAACGAGGCGAAGGGAGAGCCAGGCCCGGGAAGGCCGTGGTGCGACTCCTAGTGGGGAGGGCAACAGGAGACTCCAGAGGAGACGTTGCGCTTCTTTGGAAACTTGTGGAGGCCCGGAGGGGGCAGGCGGGAGCCGCGGCCGGGCCCTCCCTGTGAGGCTGGCGGCCTGAGCGCTCCCTTAGGGGTTACGACACCCCGAGTATGGCGCCCTTGCCGCCTACGAAAGACGCACCGTCCCAGGCCCCCTTCCGAGACGCCTCCGTCGGAGGAGCCGGGCCCGGCCGGGCCGACCGTTTCGCCGCAGCCGGCCCGGAGCAACAGGCTCGGAGACTCGGTGGGAAAGGGCTGCGGGGCCGAGCGTTCCAATAGCCTGTGACTTCGGGAGGCTCCGTGTCAGGGACCCCAGACTTAGACTCTTCTTGGGAAGAATTGGTGGAGAAGCAGATCCAGAAAAGAAAGCACTTAAGAGCAGCGGGCCTTTGTGCCGGCCCGTCCCAGCCGTCAAAACATCGGGGACTGGACGGAAGCGGTCCAGACAGCTTCATGTAGCCTAAAGTGACATCTAGGTCTACGTTCCTCATACTAGACGATACCGTTGTGCTGGGCAGATTTCAAGCGAAGTTAAAAGTTACAGGTGTCGGGAAAACGGAGAATGCCTTGTTAGCCGCTTCCTGTGAGCTTAAAGATGCTTTGGGACTTGGTTTGACCTCAGCTCCTCCCAGAAGAAGGATCCGTGTGAGTTTTGAAATGGCTTAATGCCTCTTGGGCCACGTTGTTGTTAGGTGCCAGTCCAGTCGATTCCCACTCATAGCGACCCCATGTGACGGGTAATCGTTAGGGGAGCAGATCGCCAGGTCTTTCTCCCGCAGAGCCGTTGGGTGGGTTCAAAGCATCAACCTTTCCGTTAGTAGCCAAGCGCTTAACCGTTTGCGCCACAGGGCTCTCTCATTGGCCAATAGGGCATGTTTTTTTTAATGGATAAATTGGGCTTAGTGCAGGCGGAAGAAAATTAAGAGGTAGCTGTCCAGCCATGGCTTTTGGGTTTTGACTGGCTGAAAATGTGAAGGTTTGAGGACTGTTCTAAGGGCATCACAGCTTCTCATCTGTCTCTTCCCCAGAGCCTTTTATAAGGGTACATTGCTTCTCCCTCCTGCCTGGAGCCTTTTCTTTGAGAAAGCTTTCCCACTTCCATTAAGCTAAGTGCCTTCTCTTGTGGTTCTTTTTTTTTTTTTTTTAACTTGCTTTCTGCTCTATCCTGCTGCCTCTTTCAGCCACCGCTCCTCCCAGCACCATTATCTTTCTCTCTGATCCGCCCACTCCAGTTTCCCCTCTGCTGTCTCCTCAGGCTGACATTTTCCTCAATTTAGAAACGACAGTGTTGATCTACCATTTATATAGTTATCCTTCCTGACTCAGAAGTTCTTTGTTTCCCCTGCTCTTCCCGTGGTTCACTCCCCACATCCTACTGTGAGGGGAGATTTTACACCAGTTTCACGCTTCCTGAAAAAGAAGGCTGCCACCTTGAGAACTTTCCTGTGCTGGGGACACATCAGGCTTGCCTAGGTTTTGAGAGTTATGCATAATGAGGGTCTTCATGCTAGAAGACTTTCTTCAGGGAAATAGCAGGTAGTTGGTAAGGGGTGCCTTGCCCGTTTTAAATACAGCATGACTTCCCATTTTCTTTAAAGAACTGTGGAGATTGGGAGAGTCAACAGCCCCTGGTTGCTGAAACCAATTATCTCCTCCTCAATTCGAGCTGCAGAGAACTCTGGACCACAATTAACACATTCCAGGCAGAACTTTCTCTTTAAGAAGGGGCTTCCATTCTGCCTGTGCCATTTTCACCCTGGAAAGAGCTGCTTTTCTGGTGCTTCTTTTGATCATGGTTTGCCTGTCTTCTGACAGCTGAGGTTATACACTGAGGTCAGGACATCTTACTTTCTGACTTACATCTTGTCCTGGCAGAAGAATTCTCCTATTTTTGAATTGTCTGTCCCTCCCAAATGTGGGGTCAGAAGTGAAACCGTCTCTAAGGGGCTTTACCGGAGTAAGATAAAAACCTGTTGCTGGCGAGTCAGTTCCGACTCATAGTAACCCTGTAGAACAGAGTAGAGCTGCCCCATGAGGTTTCTTTATGGAAACAGACTGCCACATCTTTGTCCTGCGGAGCTGCTGGTGGGTTCTATCTGCCAACCTTTCAGTTAGCAGTCAGGTGCTTTAACTACTATGCCACCAGGGCTCCTTCCAGAGTAAAACCAAACCCGTTGCCGTCGAGTCGATTCCGAGTCATAGTGACCCTATAGGACAGAGTAGAACTGCCACATAGAGTTTCTAAGGAGTGACTGGTGGTAAGATAGTAGTGTAAAATAGCTGTGGCTGCTAACTGGTTTTGAAGCCTTCTGAGTTAGACAACAGGATCTGGAGGATAATATTTTATTGGAATTTGTTGCTACAGGAGCCTTGAGTTCTTAAGTGCTCTCTCTCCTCTCTTGCTCAGTCCTCATCAGGCCTCCCCCCTTGAATGCTTCATTCCCAGTCCTCTCACCCACCACAACAGTTTGTCTGCCTTCTGAAATGCCACTTAACTCCCAAGAGCTTTTACAGAACATCTCTCATCCATTCCCCCAAACTGCTTCTAGCCTCCTTGCTCTTGACTTTGCAGCCCTCAGCTAGTCTGGCTCTTCCTTCCGTTTGGCTTCCAAGTGTCAGTATCAATTCCCATCAGCAGAAACAAAGGAGCTGCTACGCTCAGCCTTGTTTGTCCAGTTTTCCTCTGTGTAGTGAGGACATGGCTGCCTCCTAAAGGCAAGCAAATGTGAGCCTCTCCCGTCTCTACTGTCCAACACAAGATTTGTTCCTGCCTCAAATTACAGTAATTACAGCTCATTGAATCAAGCCAGGCTGTACTGTTCCCACCACCTCTCTGTGCGGTGTGTGTCTCTTTCAGTTGCTGGGAGCACGCCAAGCTGTGCAGTCTTCTCCTATCACGGCAGCTCACTGAAAGTCCGCAGCGGATTCCGGAGCAGGATTTATTAGAATAGTTCGGATTATGACCATAAGCAACAGAGACTTACTCTGTCAAGCTCCTCATGCCAGGGATCTCCCTGGCAGAGAATTCTGATACGTCAGGACTTATCTAGTCCAGCTTCCCCAGTCTATGTAGGCTGAACCCCAGATCCACATGGGTTGACTAAATGTCCACACTCAGGTGGTGACTTGTAGCCAAACCAAGTCAAGTCTGACTATGTACCAGATATCTTCAAGGGTACTGGGGATACAACCGGGAAAGAACCCACTTCTTCCTTCTGTTTGTTTATTTTAAGGTTGATCAGATGTGAATATGAATTGTTGCAGTTAGTGTAAGCTGCAGCACCAAAATACTTGTTAAACCCTGAAGGCTGAGAGCAAGATTGCGCCATATACATGCTGCTTATGACCAGATCGTGCCTGGTACTGTATGGTTTTCTAGCCTTTAAAGCACTTAAAGATTTGCCCTTGATTCAGATTTCAGGTTGAGCCTTTTGAGTCCAAGAAGATTCTTCCGCGTATAATTTGGTGGTGTGGGAATGGGGAGGGGCCGAAGATGGACCTGAGAGCAAGCCAGCCGCCTATCAGTAATAGCACTCAATAAAAAAATAGGCTTCAGGAAGTTCGGGGATCTGCAGATGTCTTCCACCGACTGTAAAATCAGCATCTAGAATTAATTATGAGTTGGCTAAATACCCAGCTCAAAATTCAAATGATACAGAAAAGCAGGTAGGTAAAAGTCCCCTCATCACCCAGTTTTTCTCCTTGGGGACCTGCAGTTTCGCAGCACCCTATAACATTTCTCAGCACTCTGCTTTGCTTTTGTTTTCTAGTTGTCTTGGATATTGTTCAAAACCAGTCCCTGAGGGGCTTCCTTCTTTTATTTATGGCTTTTATTGGTTTATTTATTTATTGTATTTGAAATACAGTAGAATTTCATTGTATGGATGTACTGTAATGTATTTTTAAATATAAATTATAAATATAGTTTAATGTCCCTCATACCTTGTTGAACTTGTTTCCACATTTATAAGAAGGATCTAACATCTGCTTCCTCCTTCATGAGTGTTAAGAGAAATAACATTTTACATAGTGCAAGGCTGGATCCCTGAGAGGCTCCTGGAATGAACGTTAGTTTCTTTCGCTCGTTACGGGTTTAGCCTTCCATCCGATTAGACGCATGGTGAAATCGCGTGTCCCGGACTATAATCTGTCTGTAAAGCATGCTCTCTTCTGATGGCTTAGTGAAGGGGCTTGGTGTCCCGTGAGGCAGAAATGGAGGCAAATAACACTGAGGAGACAGTCTCCCAGTCCCTCGAGCCTTCTAGAGAAGCAGATGGTAAGGGAGGGGAATACTCAGCATACCCCCCTCAACACACAAACCGCTCTGGTTTGTGTCTTTCCTGCAGCCTTGGGGAGCAGTACTACAAAGATGCCATGGAGCAGTGCCACAATTACAACGCCCGCCTCTGTGCTGAGCGCAGCGTGCGCCTGCCTTTCTTGGACTCCCAGACTGGCGTAGCCCAGAGCAACTGTTATATCTGGATGGAAAAGCGACACCGAGGTCCAGGTGAGGGTCCAGACTCGGGAGAAGGGGGATCAGGTGCATGAGTAGGAAGGGGTGTCCTCAGTATAGGCAGTGAGCCAGTGAGAGGTTTCCCTGCTGCTTTCCACATCGATGAATATGGTCTCCCGGGATTGGAAGCCCGGGGAGAGCGAGACAGACAGGTTCACACCAGCATCTTTGTTGTCTGCTCTGCTGATCATTGGGCTTCCAGAGAGATCCCTAAGCTCACATCTATTTTTCTTTCCCACTAGCTACCCTACCCCTGCCCCAGACCCTCAATCTCCATACTTCTCCCTTACTCTAGAACTCAAGGGGGGCCTGCTAGTCTAGACAGTGCTTTAGTGTTATTTTCTAGACTTGGATTAAGGCTTGACTTCTCTTTCTTCCTCCCGTAGGGTTGGCTTCTGGGCAGCTGTATTCCTACCCAGCCCGGCGCTGGCGGAAGAAGCGACGAGCCCACCCCCCAGAAGATCCACGACTTTCCTTCCCATCTATTAAACCAGGTAAGGCACACACCTCCATGCTGCATGGTAAGAGACCTGCTATTCACCTGGTATGTACCAGGCCCAGTGCTAGATCCTAAAGATACTAAAATGAATAAGATATGATTCCTCCTTTAATTAACTCAGTCTAGTAGGGGAGACAGACAGGTAACTGCGCTGTGTGAACTGGGGTCTCTTGGCTCCTGGGCAGCCAGAGAGCAGAAGACAGTGACTGGCCTTTGGTTAGCTCAGTACTCTGTGGATTCCAAGCAGTCTGCTTTCAGCCCCTCTGAGCCTCACTGCCGCCTGACCTGGCTTGCAGACACAGACCAGACCCTGAAGAAGGAAGGCCTGATCTCTCAGGACGGCAGCAGTTTAGAGGCTCTGTTGCGCACCGACCCGCTGGAGAAGCGGGGCGCCCCAGATCCCCGAGTTGACGATGACAGCCTGGGCGAGTTTCCTGTGACGAACAGTCGAGCACGGAAGGTACAAGCTTAACCCTTATAGCAAAGGGAGCTTTGGTGGAAAGCAGCCTCCTGTCCGTTAGGGGCCACCCGGTAATCAGAATGCTGGAGCAGAAGCTGTGGGCCAGTGGGCCTACCCCTGGAGTGCTGTTCCTGCCTTGTTCCTCAGTTAGCACTGGTACTGACTGGCTTCTCTTTTGCCGTCCCAGGCTTTCCTGCTCTTTTCCTTCTCAGTGCACGCTCTTACTCATTCATCCTTTTTTGTCACAAAACCTTTTTGGTGCCTGGGATCACGTAAGTGAAACAGACCTGGTCCCTGCCAACAGGAAAGATAAATCCATACATAAAAATAAGAAGAGTTAAAAATATGTCAGGCACTGTGCTACAGGCTTTACCATGCATTTTCTCCTTCAATCTATACAACAGCCTTATGAGGTAGGTACTGTCGTCCCCATTTCACAGACGGGTTAAGGCAGAGCAGTTCAGAAACTTGCTACAAGATCACACAAAAACGAAGCAGCAAAGATCTAATTTAAATCAAGGAAATGAGATTTCGGAAGGGGACCCGATCATGTGTTAACGGCAGTTCAGATAGGAGAGGGGATGTCTCCGTGGGTCTTAGGGAAAGCTTTATGAAAACCTGGCATTGCCTTGGCCACTTGGAGATGGTGGGAAAGACATTCCAGGCTAGGGAGCTGTGTGAAGAGAGGCCCAGAGCATTTGGAGGGTGCTTGAAGGGCAGTAGTGTGGATGGAGGCTGGAGTGGGCGGGGCCAGGAGACAGGAGATCTGGGCGGCCTTGGCCAAGTCCATCATGGGGGAGCTTCTGAACGCACATTATTCCTGCCTGTCCTACTCCTCCCGTCCACTCAGCGGATCCTAGAACCAGATGACTTCCTGGATGATCTTGATGATGAGGATTATGAAGAAGACACCCCCAAGCGTCGTGGCAAGGGGAAAGCCAAGGTGAGGGGCCGGGGGCTGCCTGTAGCCTGAGGTGGGGTCCTGGGGAGTCCCACCATTTTATTTCTTGTGGTTGCCTTTTTTCCCTGTTGAGTGAGATTAGCAGCCACCTACAGGAGAGATTTAACTCCTCAGGCCCAGACACCTTAATAAGGGCATCTGTTTGCTGTCTTTGGTAGGGTAAAGGTGTGAGCAGTGCCCGTAAGAAGCTGGACGCTTCCATCCTGGAGGACCGGGACAAGCCCTATGCCTGTGACAGTGAGTGCCTCACAGAGGGTGGGGGTCCTTGCCTTGGACCCAGCTCCTGCTCAGAATATGAGAGCAGGGAGGGTTGTGGTAAAAACAAACCTGGACGCTTGTCCTGCTGCTGACTGGCTCCCACTGAGACCCCTGGGAGGCCCTGCCTCTGCCACAGGACGGGTGGGACCTGCATGCTGGGGTGAGCGCTCTGCTTCCCTCTGGCGGGGGATGCGCGGGTCGGGGTCCCTTCAGCATGCAGGTTGGCCTCTTCAATAGACGGCATCCAGGTGTGCTGGCCCCCATCAAGCCAGGGCCCCACGGGTCCAACACTGAGTTGTTGAATGTTTGTTCTCCCCTTTCCTCTCTGGCTCGCCCCACTTCTGTCCCTCTACCCTGGGAGCACCATCGCCGCTGGGCTTTCTCTCTGGTTTGCTCGGCTTTCCTGCTGCTGCCGCTCCTGTCTCAAGTGTGTCCAGGCCTTCCTCTCATGACTTTTCTTTCTGTCTTTCAGATAGTTTCAAACAAAAGCATACCTCGAAAGCGCCCCAGAGAGGTAGCTCTCTCAACTTTTCAGACTTTTGATTTTCCTATCCCTTTTCCCTCCTCCCTTGTTCCTTCTGCCTTGCTCACTTCCTGTGATGCTAGTTGAAAAATTCTGTGATGGCATGGGAATTGGCGTGGTGGAACGCTCCTCAAAGTCCTGAAAGCTACCGTTACCACTGCTTGTCTCCCACAGACTTGCTCCTAGGGCAGCTCGGGCCCACCGCCTGGGGTGGCTTCAAAAGCATCCTGAGGCGCCTGTTACAAACAGACCCCTCTGCCTCTCCTTCCCCCAAACAGACAGTTGGTGCTCAGCTGATGTTGACCACCATCCCACCACCCCCTGCTTCCTCTCATCCTCTCTCCCCATTCCTTCCCTGCTGGCCCCTTGCCCTCAGTAATGCTGTCCAAGGTTACAGGATGCCTCGTGGGCATCTGCTTTCCTTGCCAGTGGCAGAGGCTGGGCTGGGCACTGATTTGGGAGTGTGTGTGAGTTTCTTTGGAGGCCAAATTCCCTGGCAGACTCTGTTGATAGGTTCTCTTCAAGGGACCCTCCCCACCACCACCCCCACTGCTTTATCCACATTTGGCCAATATGGGCTCTGTGTGCATCTGGGGTAGCATGCACCTCCCACGTTTACCGAGGGTAGAGAAGCTTAGAGTCTCTTCCTTACCTTTCCCTTTTCCTGCTAAATTGTAGGACTATAGAAATTCCCTTCCCTTTCCTGACCTGGGCAAGGGGTGATGGGGCAAAGGCTAAGACTTCCAAAAAGCCCATGTAGAGGAAACAGTGGTGCCCATGGGACTGGGGTTTAGGAGGGAGAAGCGTCCCAGAAGCTGGAGAGCACTGGGCCCTGATGCTCCTGGCTCAAGGGAGGGGCTGTCACTAAATGCCTGTCCCGAGACAGAGCTGATAGTTGGTGGGGGTGGTTGCCCTCTGCCTCACTGGGAGCATTGCAGGGGTAAGATGTGGCACTTTCAGAGCCTAACACCTTTCTCTTGGCAATTTTCTCCCCCGTCAGTTTGTGGAAAACGTTACAAGAACCGACCAGGCCTCAGTTACCACTATGCCCACTCCCACTTGGCTGAGGAGGAGGGTGAAGACAAGGAAGACTCCCAGCCACCTACCCCAGTTTCCCAGAGGTCTGAGGAGCAGAAATGTAAGCTGAGATGTAGGAGGTGGTGGGCGAGCTGGAGTGGGCCTGGTTAGGAAAATTCTTCCTCGCAGGGGTGTTGAGCGGGCCCCCAGGCTCAAGCGGGCCCACAGGCTCCAGCGGGCTTCACCCAAGCTCTTCTCTTTCTCCCTGTAGCCAAGAAAGGTCCTGATGGATTGGCCCTGCCCAACAACTACTGTGACTTCTGCTTGGGGGACTCGAAGATCAACAAGAAGACGGGACAACCCGAGGAGCTGGTGTCCTGTTCTGACTGTGGCCGCTCAGGTACCTCCACCCTCGGGGAGAGGGCTGCTACAGCGCACAGCCCCCTATGGCCTCTTTGTCTGTCGCCTTCCACTGGCCGTCACAGCCACCCAGTTTGCCATGTTCTCCCTGGTAGAGATGTAGCTAGAGGCAGTGGGCGCTGCTCTTCTTTGCCCACTTCGGCTGCCTGTGTCACTCCCTCCCCTCCGCAGGGCACCCGTCCTGCCTTCAGTTCACGCCCGTGATGATGGCGGCAGTGAAGACCTACCGCTGGCAGTGCATCGAGTGCAAGTGCTGCAACATCTGTGGCACCTCCGAGAACGACGTGCGTGAGCCCGCTCCCCCCCAGCGCGGCTCCTTCTCAGCTCCGCTCTGCTTTCGCGGTTCCCACTAAAGTGCACTTTTTTTTTATATCTAAAAAAGGGAGCAAGGTTCCTTCAGCACGTCCCCTCCCCCAGCATCACAGTCAGAACTCTGATTTGTCGGGCAGGTGCTTATCAAGTACCTAATATGCGTCAGGCACAGTTCTAGGCACTGAAGATACTAAAGGTTTGACAATCAAGGTCCCTGCTTCTGGGGAACTTGTATTCTTGTAGGAAGAAGTAATACGTGGGGAAATGAGTGAGGTGGTTGTGAGTACTGTGAAGAAAATGAGATGAGTGATGTGACAGAATAACTGGATAGCCAGTGTAGATTTGAGGGTCAGGGATGGCTTTTCTGAGGCGGTGAGATTTGCGTTGAGATTTTGGATGATACAAGGAGCCAGTCCAAGAAGGTTTCAAGGCAGAGGGTTCCCACAGAAGGAGCTGCAGGTGCAGAGGCCGTGAGGTGGACAGGTCTGGTGTGTTGAGGAGGCCAGTGTGGCCGCTAGAGCCTTCCTGAGTGAGAGAGCATGGTGGGAGGTGAGATCGGAGGGGTGGGCACCACCAGATCTGGGAGCCTTGGTCTCCATGCTAAGTACAGTGGGAAACTGTTGAAGGGTGTTAATCAGGGGAGAGGCCCTTCTGTCTTAGGTTTTAAAAAGGTAACTTGGGTTGCTCTGTGGAGAATAGATAGCAGGGGACAAGAGCGGAATTCATGAGTTCAGTTAGGAGGCTCTTGTGGGATCCAGGTAAGAGATGATGATGACTTGGTCTGGGGTGGAGATGAACAGAAGTGGTATCCTACCCATCTATTCTGACCTTCCACCTACCCTGTCCCTCTTGGAAGCAGTAGCAGTATCTACAGAAGCCTTTGTCCTACCCACCTCCAGTAGTACCCTAACTGAGGCCCAGCAGCCATTCAGACCCACTCTTCCATCTTGCCTTCCAGGACCAGCTGCTTTTCTGTGACGACTGCGATCGTGGCTACCACATGTACTGTCTTACCCCGTCCATGTCTGAGCCTCCTGAAGGTAAGTTGTCTGGATCTCTTACTCAGAACAATTACGTTATTAGTAGTGTGGAAAGTCACCCATACAGTACATACTGAGGTTTGTGTCCTTAATGTTATCAGTTATTTATTCTCCCAGATCAGGAAGGAAGGACTTCGTCTTGGCTCAGTTCAGAATATTTTCCAGCATTTCAGCTTAAGCAGTTCAGTGTTTGCGCATTACGCCAGGTGTATTTGCGAACAGTCCAAGAGAAAACAGACCTTAAGCAAAGAGCAGTCACCCGGAAGGAGGTGTTCTTCCCCAGCCAGTCCAGAAGACTCAGTAGCTTGGCTGAGGTGAAGCTTTGGTATCAGCTGTCTGAACTTGACAGATTTTTGAGTGTGCATTTCCTCTCCCTTCTAGAAGGGACTGGAACCTGGAGCCTAGATGGGTCACTCCTCCTCTTCTTTGGGCCCTCTTACACATACCTCTGAAAATCTGATAAGAGCTATGGATCTTTTCCCCCAGAATAATGTACGGATACATATGTGTGCTATTATGCTTGTAGTTAATTTCAAGGTATCGAGGGCTAATTTTGTATCAGAAAAAAAGCGTGAAAGAATCCATCCCTAGTAAATGTTAATAAACAAGGTATGAACTGGCTATTTTTCTTTCGGGGATAATTATTTCCTGGTTTTGTATGAAACTAGCTCAGGTCCTCACAGGTGGGATCATCATAGCCCACCTCCTGGTCCTCCAGTCAGCCCTCAGCCCCTGCTCAGACCCCTCAGTGATGGCAGGGAGCCCACCTCTCTGTCACTGGTGGTCACAGAAAGCCCTAGCTGATCTGAAATCAGAATTGGTTTCTCTGGCACCTCCCTTCATGGTCTTTATTCCAACCTTTGGGGCCATGGGAACAAAGTCTGGTCCTTCTGTAATCATATGAGTCTAGAGCTGGGCACTTTAGAAGATTACATTTGTCCAGCCCTTCTCCTGTTCCCAGAGATTGTGATTTAAGGGGTCCAAGAAGGTTGGGCATTTGTCTGAAATTGTCCTACAGGAGACTGATGGTTTCTTTCTTCCTCAGAGAAGTACTTTTTTATGATATTTGAAGATCTGAGGTTCCGCCCAGCCCAGAGTAGCCATGATACCTTGCTGCTGCAGAGCATCTCCTATCCCACGTGTAGTTGATCTTGCTTCTAGGCAGGGGGGTTGTAGGGAGAGGAAGGACAGCAGATTGGGATTGTAGGGGACCCATCCTAACCCCATTATTCTTTTCTGCAGGAAGTTGGAGCTGCCACTTGTGTCTGGACCTGTTGAAGGAGAAAGCTTCCATCTACCAGAACCAGAACTCCTCTTGATGTGGCCACTCCCTGCTCCCCCACACGTCTAGGGCTGTTTCTCTCCTCTCTCGTTTCTCGTACCCATCCCCCCCCCCCAATCTTTCACAAGTCCAGAGAACCTTGGGGTGGTCATGCCAACCTGCTTTTGGCAGCAGCAAGCTGGGGTGGCCGCTCTGACCGCCTCTGGCCCCAGGTCCTCAGGGAGAAAGGAGCAGCGCACTGCCCGAGGTGCACCTGCGGGCCCAGCTCCTCACTGCTCTCCATGAAGTGCATTCACTCGGCTTGCCTTGGGCCCAGGCCCTGGTTGTCACAGGGTTCACACAGTGTCCTGCGAGAGAGAGAGTGGGAGAGCAGCTCACTTCTCTCTGGGCTCTGCCTCCACTCTGGTGTCCGGGGTTTTCCCTCCCCCTGAGGCGAGCCTGGCCAGGGCCTCTGCCAGGAGTGCCAGGAGGGCGTGACTGAGAGGCTAAGGCAGTGCTTGCGAGCTTCATGCCCTTTGTGATGCTTGGCCTCACCGCCACCTCCCTCCAGAGGGGCCCGCCGTGGCCCTCCGTTCCTGCCACAGAGGATCCTTTGTCCAAGCCAGGGCGCCCTTGGTCACCCCTGGCTCTGCCCTGCCCCATTCCACCCCAGGGGGAGTAGCAGCTTCACCCTGATTCTCCCCTGTGCTCACCTGGTGTCTAGTGACTGAAGCATTCCCTACCCCCAGAATTTCCTGCCTCCCCTCCTTACTCCTTTTGATTTTGTGGGGAGAGGGGAAGCATCAGGGGGCCAGGCCAGCAGCTTGCGGGCCGCAGGGAGACACGTTGGGTCATGTGCCTGTTTTTTAACTTTGCTGTAAAAGCCTACCTCCAAACCCCCCTTCTGTTCTCCCGGACCTGGGCATTCAGCCTCCTGCCCTTAGCTGAAGAGGAAGCCTCTGCCTCCTGCCCTGTGCATCCTGGCGCTGAGTCACAGGGACACCACGTAGACATCCCTTTCTTCCCTTGCACGCTCGCTAGCAGCTGGTAAGGTCTTCACGCCCTGGTTCCTCAGTTTTCTGCCTGGTGGCACTGACATTAAGTAGTTGGGGGCAGTCCATTCCAGGGTACCCTGAAGTGGCCGCCTCCCTTGGCCACAGGCAGGCACTAATTTACTGTTGCTCTGGAGTTGAGGTCCTGGTTTTGTTCTTTTTTTTTTTTTCTCTAGTTCTTGTATTCTAAACATTAGTACAAATAAACATTTTTACACGGAGATCTCTGCTGGGTGGTTTATTGCCTCACCCCCTGACAGTTAAGGAAGTCCACTTTATCCTAAAACTTTCTTCCTTAGGACAGTGGTTTTAAACGTTTTGAAGTACAGCTTTTTTTGCCCAGATATTTCTGTTGAACCCCAATATGTAAAACAGACAACACTGGTTATGTTATTTTCATTTTGTTACTCAGGTTTAGAACAGTTCCTTGCTATAAGGAGCAATGATGCTGTTTTGATTAATACAAAATTTGGGTTAAAATCAACTTCAACATCCTGTTTATTTCTGGATTTTGGTTGGTTTGAATGGAGAAAATGCTGCTAGAATTGGGTAAATAGCTGTAAGCGGTGACAGGTTTATAACAGTTGACTTGCAATATCAGATACTTAACCAGATCCAGAAGCCTGATTATTATATAAATACGAAAGATAAAAAGCACCTAAAATTAATGACGTAGTTTCATGATACCACGATGGGACACACGGAGCTTTGTCCACAAGTAATGAGTGTTATCAGGAGGGACCAGTCCCTGGAGAAGGACATCAAGCTTGATACAGTAGCAAAAAAGAGGAAGACTCTCAACGAAATGGACTGATAACAGTGGCTGCAACAATGGGTTCAAACAAATAGCAATGATTATGAGGATGGCACGGGACCAGGCAGTATTTCATTCTGTTGCTAATAGGGTTGCTATGAGTTGGAACCAACTTCGTTGGCACCTAACAACGACAAGGGCAGCGCTCTCGTGTGGTAGCTGCGCACTCGCTAGGCTGGGCCACAGGCTGGCAGCACAGCCTGGGCTTTAACCCACCCCAGTGCAGCACTGCAACGTTCAGGGTGTGTTTGTTTCTAGATGGCACTTAGTTCTGACTCAGCAAGCATATGTACAGCAGAAGAAAACTTTGTCTGGTCCTGCACCATCCTCAAAATCATTGCTATGTTTGAGCCCATTGTTGCAGCCGCTGTGTCAATCCATCGCATCGAGCGTCTTCCCTCTTTTTTTGCTGACCCTCTACTTTGCCAAGCATGATGTCTTTCTCCAGTGATTGGTCCCTACTGATAACATGCTTACATGCACAAAAGTGAGTTACCCAAAGTGAATGAATTGACAGTTTGCTTAGCAGATTTTGTTACATATCTCACTTGAGTGTGTGTTTTGAAGTTCCTAAACTTTTTTTTAAATAAAGGTTTGCATCAAATGGTTATGGGCTCCCTGAAGCATTGGAGTTTTCTCGAACAGTCTGAAAGCATTGTTACCTACTGAAAGGCCATGGCCTGAGCTGTTTGATTCAGTAAAAAAGCTAAGTTAACTGCATGGCTGGGGATTGTGTTAGGAGCACAGCACAGTGCCTGTCCTCGTGTTTACACGGAAGTAGGATGGGAGTAGAGGGAGTAAAGCACATGATCCTTGGTTGAATAAGGACTAGAAAAGAAATGCAAAAGCTACAGCAGATTTGTTGTGTGCCATCATAACGACCCTATTGGACAGAGTAGAACTGCCCCACAGGGTTTCCAAGGCTGTAATCCTTATGGAAGCAGACTGCCACATCTTTCTCCCTTGGAGCAGCTGGTGAGTTCATACTGCCAGCTTCTCAGTTAGCAGCCAAGCACTTTAACCACTGTGCCACCAGGGGTCCTGGGGGACTTTGCAGGAGGTATGATACAGGATGGGAGTTGGAAGGCAAGATAGTGTCAGCTGGTAGAATCGGGGGTGGGGATGGAAGGAAGCCTATGAGAAAGGCGGAGAGATGCCAACTTAGAGTGGGGGGGGCCAGCCCTTCAATCAGCTGAGAGGGGAGGTGGAAGCAAGGCTGGAGAACAGGCTGAAGTTATCCTGGGAGGGATACAGTAATTCCAAAGAACAAGCACCATCCTCACAATCAGGGCTGAAGGTTAGCAAGGAAGGGAATAATATTAGATCTTGAGTTTAGGAGCAGGGCTTAGAACAGGTTTGAACCACTTCAGCCAAGGCCAATGAAACAAAACTGGAACAGACCCAAATTTTTAAAATTTGGGTAATCTGGAACCATAACCAGAATGGGAAAAATTATGGGTCAAAGACTTGGAATGATACTCGGAAGAGGCATAGTGAGCCCTTTCAGCAGCCTGATGCATGATAATGGATTATTGCCAGGACTGAGGAGAGCGACACACATTCAATGAGGCTTGGTTGCCATCTTTGAGTGAGGCACTGCTGTGTCGACTCTGAGCAAAATCGGAGGGGCAAGGGATTTGGTTGCTATGCAACGTGTACTGCTGCCCTTGTTTTCTACGAAGGAGATTAAGTTTCTAGCAGGGCTTCCACCGGTAATTTTTCCCATTCCGGTTGTGGTTCCAGTTCACCCAAATTAAAAAAAAGAAAAATTCGAGTCTGTTCCAGTGTCGCTTCCTCGGCAGTGACTGAACCAGGAAGAATCGGTCGAAGCCCTCTTTAAGAGCTTGAATCTTGCCAACAGGTACCAAAACTAATAGAAATTAGTCCTAGAACTGGACGGGCTGATAGATGGTGAGGCCAGCGCTGTCCATGGTGACTCGCTTTTGCGTGGTTTCAAGCTTGCATCCATTTTCTCCCTCCATCGTTCCCTCACTCTGAGAGGTACTAGCCCTGTTTGAGAGCTGAGGAAGCGGAGGCTGCCGAGAGTCACGGCCAGGAAAGCCTGGGGACACCCAGTCGGCCCTCCTGCCCCGACGCCGCCCGAGGGCTCGTCAGGCCCAGGTTTGGGCAACCTGCGGATGAAGCTCGGGAACTCCCGCCGAGTCCTGGCTCCGCCTCCCGCCCCTGCGCCGGAGACCCGCCCCCGGAGCGCCCGGTGAACCGCCATTCCGCGAAGTCCAATGAGAACTAGGCAGGGGCGGGACGGGACGCCACTGAGGGCCAATCTGGTCGGGCTGGGGCGGGGTTGAAGAGGCGGGCGCCGGGTGTCCGCGCCGCTGGATCCGCAGCCCGGAGAGAGCCCGGC